AAACTCTTTAGCCCAAATTACTTATTCTCTAATACTTCTTAAAAGGAACTCTTTCTTCTAACCAAACCTGGATCACCTGTTATTCCTAGAAAACAAATTATGTTTTCCCATCTCTATGCCTAAAACTACTCCCTTACATTTCACCAAGGACAGAAAAGATGAGCGTTTTCTCAATTCTCATTCTCTTTCATCTTTACTTTGTGCTACTTTTGACTCACTCCCCTCCTTGAAATATTTTATTTCTTGACTTTCTTCAAATTATACCTTCCTAGAGTCCCTCCTCCTATATAATTGTTGTTTCTCTATCTCGTCTGGTTGTTTCTCTTCTTCTTTCTAGCCCCTAACTATGAACCCTAAAAAACATATCCTTAGTCCTTTTCACATATACTTTAATTATGTTGTCAGCCAGACCTACGCAAATCATTCCTCTAACTCTCCAAGTCTCAGGTCTTCCAACTCTAGTCCACGTTTGCACTTGACTGCTGGACTTCCTCACAGAGATGGCTTATCAGGCCCTTCAAATTCATCAAAACTAGTCCTCTTCCAGTTTCCCCAAATAGAATCATTACGTTATCTAGGTTTATAGCCTTTGAGCAAGTGAGCTTCCTATTAACTAAACAGATTATGATTACTGTATGGTCAAAATTGCATTTAATAGGGTCTGAAAGGGGCCAGACCACTCTATTACATTCTTTCTCTGAATGTTGAGCTTCTTCATTGTATCATCATTGTGCGAATGAGCACATCAGTTGTGGCGAAGGCCCGAGCAAAGTAGGAAGTCTCTCACTGAGCTGTGGGACTGGAATCCATCCTTCTTGTCTTGGCAAAGGATCTTCTCAGGTGGTTGGGGGTGGGGAGGCAGTGGGGTGGGGAGAGATGGTCCCTGTTACATGAAACAGGTCAAATGTCACAAGAAGTTGAAGCCAGGTAAGGTCTTCTGTACTGCAGGTTGGACTAAAGGGTGGGAGTGGTGGAGCAGAGCCAGACATACCTGGGTTTGAATCTTGGCTCTGCCTCTGCTAGATATATAATATTAGACATGGTACCTAACTTTTCTGAACTTATGTTTCATTGCCTGTAAAATGGAAGGAAATAACGCCTAAATATTATAATGGGGTGATGAGAATTAAACTCAATCATGAATGTCAAATACCCAGTCCCAAGTCTGGGATAAAGCAGATACTCAATTCAATGTGAAGTCTTGTTGTAATGTAAGTCTAACATTTTTCTCTGTTAAATGCTGGAGTTCCCTCAACAAGACAAATTAAAACATTGACCTCCAAAGCTAATGAGCTATCACTGAAGGGCAGCACTCCACATTGTTGGAACTGATAGGTCCAGTGCTTGAACTTCCTTGTGTAAGAACCTTCATTTCTTTGAGCAAGCTGTTGTGTCTGGAGCATCTAACTAGTCAAAGCTCTCAGAAAATAGTTATGAATAGTCTCAAAGTCATCAGTCTGGAACATGGGAGTCTCAGAATTAAGGGTAAGGCAAGAACTTTCTCAAGCAGATGGGCATGGGCAGATACGATAAGACAGGCAGGTAAAATCAGAAGAGAGCATCCAGAAAGTCTAGAGGGCAATATTGGTATGTGGCATGAAGGGTTAACACAGCTGATCTTTCTGTGCCCTATATTCTCCTAAAACAAGCCTCAACAAAACGACAGTCCTTCCTTTCATGAGCCTGCTAGATAGAATGTACAGAAAAAGAGCTGAAAGTCATGGGGCTGCAGAACACAGACCCCTGATTTTGCTCTGGGTGCTGATGTTCCTTGAGAGTGGCCAGGGGTTCAAGTCACGCCAATCCTGACAGGTATGTCCAGAGCATTTTCTGTCTGGATACCTAACAGCCATTAGGGTCCAATCTCAGAGAGCCAAGGAAGAATAGCTGGGAGATTAGCTGGGAGTAAGCCATGGTTGATACTCATGCCTATGGGCTCCCTAAGCCTGCACAGACTCAAAAAGGACAAATATGGCAATGACAATTCTACTGCTACTTTGTGAGCTTTGTAAGGACTATAGGAAAACTAGAGATTCAATATTACCTGATAAAATATAAAGATTTTCAATACCACCCGCCTAGGAAACCCTCCCAGATTATAACAAAATATATCTGAATGTATCTCATATAGGAGAGTAGATATTGGTTCAAGAAAGTTTCTTTCAGTACACACTTTGTGTACAGAGTCAAAAGATACCATATATTTCTTTCTAAAGGGTGATCAAAAAAGTTTGAAAGCTATTTTCCTAGATTCTAATGATTCCTCTTCCCACTATCACCTAAAACCTGGTCACTATGGCCTCCTCCCCTCATCATGAACCTCTCTCACACCCTCCCCCATCACCATGACCCCACAACACCCTCAG